GAGCCTCATCTGGTTTTTAAAAAAAAAAAAATCCAGGCAGTGCCAGTGGCCCAAAGGAATAGGGTGCTGGCCCCATATACCAGAGGTGGTGGGTTCAAACCTGACCCCAGCCAAAAACTAAAAAGAAAAAAAAAAAATCCTAGTGAGTGTAAAGTGATATCTCATTGTTTTTTTGATTTGCATTCCCCTAATGACTAATGATATTGAGCGTCTTTCTTCGTGTGCTTATTAGTCATTGTATATCTTTGGAGAAATGTCTTTTTAAGTCCTTTGCCTGTTTTTAAAATTGAGTTGTATTTTATTGTTGTTGAGCTTTACATATTCTGGATACAAATGCTTTATTTTTTTAAGGGACAGATTCTAACTCTGTCACCTAGGCTGGAATGCAGCAGCCTGATCATAACTCACTGTAATCTTGATCTGGGCCTCCTGAGTTGCTAGGACTATATATAGGTCCATGCCATGATACCTGACTAATTTATTTTTAACTTTTTTATTTATAGAGACGGGGTCCCCTCTCTGTTGCCCAGGCTGGTTTTGAACTCCTCAAGTGATTCTCCTCCCTTGGCTTCCCAAAGTACTAGGATTGTAGCTATGAGCCACTATGCCCAGACTGTACTCCTACATGCTATATAAATATTTTGTTAATATTATTATAAATTAAATAATATTTGTAAATATTATTAATATAAAAATTTTGTCATGTCTATGTTACTTTATAGTTAAAAAAAAAAATAAACCAGCACCGCGCCTGTGGCTCAGTGAGTAGGGCGCCGGCCCATATACCGAGGGTGGTGGGGTCAAACCTGGCCCCGGGCAAACTGCAACAAAAAAATAGATGGGTGATGTGGGTGCCTGTAATCCCAGCTACTCTGGAGTCTGAGGCAAGAGAATCGCCTAAGTCCAAGAGCTGGAGGTTGCTGTGAGCTGTGAGGCCATGGCACTCTACCAAGGGTGACAAAGTGAAACTATGTCTCTAAAAAAAGAAAAAGAAAACCTTCATCTGGTACCTTTTTTTTTTTGCAGTTTTTGGCTGGGGTGAGGTTTGAACCCACCACCTCCAATATATGGGGCCAGTACCCTACTCCTTTGAGTCACAGGTGCCGCTCTTTTTTTTTTAATTGAGACAGTCTTACTTTGTTGCCCTCTGTAGAGTGAGGTGACATCATAGATCACAGCAACCTTAAACTCTTGGGCTTAAGCGATTCTCTTGCCTCAGACTCCCAAGTAGTTGGGACTACAGGCGCCCACCCCAGTGTCTGGCTATTGTCTGTTTATTTGTTTAGCAGGCCTTGGCTGGATTTAAATCCCCCAGCCTCAGTGCATGTGGCCGGCACCCTAACCACTGAGCTACAGGCACGCAGCCCTGTTATCCTTATTTTAAGAAAGGATAATTTTTACATTTATTTATTTATTCTGAGACAAAGTCTCACTTTGCCCCCCTGAGTAGAGTGCTATGGCATCATTATAATTCACAGCAACCTCAAACTCTTGGGCTCAAGCAATCCTCTTGCCTCAGCCTTATGAATAGTTGGGACTACAGGCACCCACCACAACACCCTGCTAATGTTTCTTTCTTATTTTTTTTTTCCCGAGACAGAGTCTCACATTGTCACCCTTGGTAGAGTACTGTGTCATCACTTTGTCACCCTTGGTAGAATGCTGTGCCATCATAGCTTATAGCAACCTCAAACTCTTGGGCTTAAGCTATTCTCTTCTTCTTCTTCTTCTTCTTTTTTGAGACATAGCCTCAAGCTGTTGCCCTGGGTAGGGTGCTGTGGCATCATAGCTCACAGCAACCTCCAACTCCTGGGCTCAAGTGAGTCTCCTGCCTCCACCTCCCAAGTAGCTAGGACTACAGGCGCCTACCACAATGCCTGGCTATTTTTTGGTTGCAGCTGTCGTTGTTGTTTGGTGGGCCAGGCTGGATTTGAACCCGCCAGATCAGTTGTATGTGGCTGGCACCTTAGCTGCTTGAACCATAGGCACCAAGCCTTAAGCTATTCTCTTGCCTCAGCCTCCCAAGTAGCTGGGACTACAGGTGCTGGCCACATACCCAGCTATTTTTAGAAGCAGGGTCTCACTCTGGCTCATGCTGGTCTCAAACTCCTTAGCTCAAGCAATCCCCCTGCCTCGGCCTCCCAGACTATTAGGATTTTAGGTATGAGCCACTCCACCCGGCCGAGTGTTTCTATTTTCAGTAGCAATGAGGTCTCACTCTTGCTCAGGCTGGTCTCAAACTCCTGAGCTCAAGTGATCCACCTGCCTTAGCCTCCCAGCCTCCCAGACTGCTAGGATTAGCACAGTGACCACACCTGTCCAAAAAGATTATTTTTATTTTTATTTTTTATTTATTTTTATTTTTATTTTTTTTTGAGACAGAGCCTCAAGCTGTCCCCCTGGGTAGAGTGCTGTGGCTTCACAGCTCACAGCAACCTCCAACTCCTGGGCTCAAGTGAGTCTCCTGCCTCCGCCTCCCAAGTAGCTGGGACT